TCTGAGCGGGGGGTGTTGCATTTTGGACTTCTTTAGGTTAAGGAGAAGGTTTGTCCACTTCAATTGCTTACCTTTTAGTCATGATTCCGGTGGCTTGGAATGCATCACTCTATGGCTACTGGTTGGGATCCACTCATAAGTGTTTGTGTGTGTGTGTATATATTGAGGTCCACTTGCCCTAGCCACCAACAAGGGGTATAGGGACCATGGCCCTATAAGTTCAACCTCCTATCTGGTTGGGACCTGGCCAATAATGATGATACCTGTTCTGGATATAGTGTGGTTCCACCACTAGAGTGCCAATCTCCTATTGACAAACCCATGTTCTATGCAGACACTTTCTTTATGGATAATGCCCTCATTGGCCCCTCCACCTTATCAATGTGGGATTCTAGCTGTAGTGTAAGAGGAGGTAAGTATGTTTTAGAAGTTAATATTTTCTTAAGTAGAAAATGTATTTCCAATACAGCTTACCTACTCTCACATTCTCCTGCCCTTCCTCCTCACTAAGAGCCAGTGTTAGAGACTGCGGATTGAGTCAGTCTCAAAAAAAGTGATAACATTATCTGAATGAGATGCTTATATATATAGTACCAGAATAGAGGGTGCATTAACGTAGGTGGAGAGTGTCTCAAGACAAATATTACCAAGGACAATTAAGTGGGGGAATAAAAGACTAGTGCAAGCAAGAAAAAATCATACCCATGCTTAGATGGGGAAAGGAAAAAACCCTGTCAATCGAGTAATAGCTGTAGTGTAAGAGGGGGGGTAAGTATTATTGGAAATACATTTTCGATTTCTGAAAATGTTAATTTTTGAGTAGTTGATTATTTTCATGACAGTCGATTTGATCATAATTTCAATTAATTTATTGTTGGAATTGTTTGAAACACTGATTTAAATTATTTGATTATTTTTTTGACAACCATTATATATTTTCATTAACTCTCTCAATATGGGCTTGGTTGATTGAACTGACCACATGACCTCTTTGTAGATTTGATACTACTAACTTTTAGTATAATATGTATATTTTCATAAAATACATTCCTAAATACATTTCAAATATTTGTTTTCAGTAAAACTTTATATTTTATATGTTATTTTCTCTACCCTAACTCTATACAAAGTTGGTCAATTTGACTGACCTCGTAACCACCAAAAAAGAAAATCAAAACAAATCTAAATTACCCTTTTTCTTTCTAGAATGACTTCAAATTGTAAC